CAATGATCTTAGCCACCGTTTCTGATTTTTTTTTACTGAAATGAGATTTTTTCCTATCACTCTGTATATTCTACTACTTATGATGCTTTATTCGTCCCTCATTGACCTCCAGAAAACGTGGAAACAGTTCTTCCCAATATTCAGTTCAAGTGGAGTTCTAAAGAAAAATGTCAAGTATTACAAGACCTTTGAAAAAAATAATTAGTTTCGTGCCAATGGCGAATTGAGGAGAAATAACGAAAACTTCTCGAGATGAAGTCCCAATGTATCATAATATGACTGACTTTCAATCACAAAAAATGTCTTGAGTTTTGGCAGCATCGCAAATGTAGACCATAGTGTAATGGTTGCGCCTTACACCCTGTGTAAGTTGAGTTCTGCGAACTTTTTCATAGTGTTCTAGTTCTTTTGATGTCGATGAAATATCAAATCTGATATCGAAAACCGCATGAAAATCGGTCAATTTATTCAAAATATACAGGTCGTCGAAAAAGAGTCAAATTATGAGTGGTCCATTTAGGGTGTTGAGAACTGTAGTTGAATTCAACGTCACCAAAACTCAAGCCTGATGTATTTTCTGTATGTATAAAAAGGCTGAACTCGATATGCCTGATATATCAATGTCTGGTGTCACCAAAAAATTCGGAACATGCCAGATATATCAAAGTCTGGTATCACCTATCCTATTAATTTCACTATGTCAAAGCTAGGTTTTCACATAACCAATATTTTCTCATCGAAAAATAATGTCATATCCACATCGCGAAAGCTGCTTCACAAAAATTCGCATTTTTTTGTTGTCGTGCGACAAGCTTTCTTGCACCTCAACAGCTTCTTATGATCTACAAGAAGAAAAAATGTACGAATCCTTTTTGGATACCTACTGTTCCCACACATAGGAATCAACACCCAAACATACGCTGATTGATGATCTTAGATTCCATCTGAAGAAGAGCCATTTGCCTAGTGGATGATGTCACACTCACTAATTCCGCGAGAAATCTTCTATAGGAATATCATTCGGCTTATCACTATAGCAACACCAGTCAGACAGTATGATAAGCCCATAGTCAGCACATCCTTTCGATGTCAATCTCGGAATATGTCGAACGAATCTTCAACAAAACTCGTTCGCCTACGGCAAATACTTTGTTTGTAACAGTGCAGTAATAAACAGAAGTTACATGGATCGTTATAAAACGAGCACCGAGGCCATAGCCCCAAAGCCATCACAAATTTGAGGTTATGGTGGATAGGCATTCCAGAACACGTGACTTTTGACAAATTTCTAATGGCCGCCGGTAGGCACACAAGTGTTTTTTGTTGATTTACGTAGCAGCAGTATAATCTTTGGTAGATATATCAAATAATAATAATAGTTGTTTTGAACAAAAGTGGATATTTATTATCCTTGGACCGCTATAACAAAGATATTGCGATACGAAAGTATGTGTGCCTACGTCGGCCATATTGATTTAGATGGTTTGACAGCATCTTGGATAGGTCAATATTGTTTTTATGAATGCCAATTTTTGCAATCCACAGACAAAAATGAATTATTCTAATTGTTCGAGCCGAGATGGTATATATAAGAAATTTGGATCAAATTCGTCTGACGACAAGAACAATGAAACAGAAGTATAGGTACCCACCTAATCCTTTTTCATTACCTGAAAAATGATTTTTTGAGCTAGGTATTTAGAATAAGATTGAACAAAAGTTTGGTTCGTCTTCTGATACAATCAATGAGACCCCACTTATTAGTGGATTGGTCAAAGTATGAAAGGAATAGGTCAGGAATCGGTATACAGAATCTCGAATATTCTGTGTACAGAGGTTTGATGCAACTATATCATATCAAAGATGCTACCTTACGCCATTTCTCAGGAATTCACTCGTCAAACCCCGATGAATTTACTTAGCTTAGTCTGATTAACATTTTTTCATTGGTTTCACGATCATTAGACTCTGGAAACCATTCTTTGGCCGTGGCCATGTTCTGTGCTGTTATAAAAATGTTATTAACATTTCCCAGTGGGCATCTCTGGGTTTGAACGACATCGAAAATTAACTATACATTATATCTATGAAAAAATAAGTTTTTTACACACTTTCAAAGCTGTGCTTTCACATAAACAAGATGATCTAACCTCAAATTGGGATGAAGATGAAAAGAAACATTCGATGATGAATAAGGATAGATCTCGGGATATAGATTGACGAAACGCATCGACTCGACTCCGAGGAATCGAGTCGAGTTTACACGATTCATTCGAGAAATAGAATACCAAATATCGAATAAAGATGGCCGATTCGATTCGTGAAATAGAATCTCTGTGCAGGCCACGGAAACTTTGTTCTAAAGGCCCGTACACACGTGCTCCGCTACTCTTCATCTTCAACCCGTTCCGAACCTGTCGTTGACGACTGTCTCTCGCCCGTCTTCCGTCCCGCTACGATTGTCTATTACGAAGGCGTTAAAGGGCCACATATACTTTTTCTTCGAATCCCGACTTCAATTTTCGAATCCCGTCAGATGTCCGACTTTAAAGTCGAGATCATGTGATTAAAGTCGGTGGTCCGACATCAGGATCCCGTAATTAAAGTGGGGGGTCCGACTTTGAAGTCGGGATCCCGAGATCAATGTTGGAATTAGAAAAAAAAGTACAGATGGCTCATCCACGCCTTCGTCTATAGAACAACAAAGCTTAGAAACTTTTTGGCAAACATTGTATTTTCAAAAACGTATTACCTAAAAATGTCTAAAATTTGATGTCAAAATGATATAGGTTACTCATGTAACAGTACAGAAATACAAAGAAGTTACGTAGAAGGAAGAAAACCAAGAACGATCCGGTCGTTGACCCGGTCCAGGCCACGGAAACTTATTCCTAAAGGCACGTACACACGTGCACTGCGACATACGTCCGACCTGCTGGTTACACGCGTATGTCTGAAGCCCGCGTCTCGTCATCTTCAACTCGTTCCGAATAACCTGTCGTTGGCGACTGTCTCTCGTCTGTCTTCCTTCCCGCTACGATTGTCTATTACGAAGGCGTAAAATTGCCACATATATTTTTTTTTCGAATCCCGACTTTAATCTTGGAATCCCGTCAGAGGTCCGACTTCAAAGTCGAGATCATGCTATTAAAAAGTCGGTGGTCCGACATTCAGGACCCCGAAATTAAAGTCGGGGGTCTGACTGTAGTATATGAATAAGTGTTCTATAAAGTAATAGGTAGAGCATCTAGGTCCTGGGATCGATCCTCGGTAGGAGCGCATTTTTTACAATTTTTATTCAGAATAAATCTTTTCTATTCTGTCTAGACTAGATCTCTTTTTTAACTGTCGAGTAAAAAAGGCAGATTTACGTTGATTTAGGTATTCATGGTCCTGAATCGACGTACTGGGGATGTACAAATGCGCGGAATCTGGACGTCCCCAGTACGTATCTATAGTTCGTCTACGGTCCTAATCTGGATGTCCTCAATACGTACGAAACATCTTGGCTGGACGTTCTCAGTACGTTTTGGGGTTTGGGGACATACTGGTGCTATATGAGAGAATCTTAAAAGTTTAGATCCATACTTATAACAATGATAAATTGATATCATCATTTTCATAACAATATAGACATCGATCAGTACATCAACCTTGTTGCTTGTTGTCTGGTATGGCACAGCATTCACAGCAATCCTTTGAGAGATCCGATTATCATCCGATTGCCCCCCTCTTGATTTTCTACCAAAAACTGATTCTACTTAAAGAGTTCTTGAAACTATACATGGCGATATACATGAGTATTGGACGAGTTCAAAATTGAAAAAATCAAATATTATTCTGAAATTTTTGAAAACTTTCAGTGTAATAGTAGACATCATACATAATATACCTGCATAAGGAAGCAAATGACAAATTTTCATGGAATAATAATATATTGGCGCCTATAGCAATTGGAAAATATCAACGAAATACCTATAGCATAACGAGATGAGGTGGATTCGTGCAAGCAAAATTTAAAACTCAAATGAATTTTGAACTTGAATCAATGATATAAAACTATAAAATGTAATGAAGGTGCTCATGCAAGGAACTAAGAAATTAGAACCAAAATTGAAACTAAGAAAGATGGCCAACATTCAACTAAGAGATCAATTTCTTTCATAATCCACGACAGCGCTGGAAAAAGATTGAACAGCTGATGAAAGGTGTGTTACATGAACACCCATTCATTTTTAATTTGAAATTCCTTTATATCTCTTCAATTCAATAACATTTAGTTGATATTGCATGAATCCACCTCTAGGAATTTACAATAGACAGATGAGTCAGTATCCCTTCCTTGATAACAATCATTATCACCACTCTACCAGAAGTTGATATAAACTTCAACACCATTAAGATATTTTCATTGAACGAAACAATCCGAGAAAATTTCAAAAAAACTGTATAACAACCACCTGCTCGTTAACCTATATACACACACAATAGTCAAAATACTTCTCACTTGCTTTTTTTATTGTTCTTAGTTCCAGGTCATTTCATATAAAGTACATACAATAAACTGAGAACGAGAAACTGAATAATTTATAACTCATTATTTTGATGGAGTTGTTGATTGTTACTCTGGAAGAAATCTAATTTTCACCGTACGACTATGTTGTCTGAGTTTTTTGACCCCCCTCTGGTATTCACTGAAATGATGCCCTTGAACGTATTCCGAATATCCGAAATTCGTCGATTTTTTTTATCCGAATACGATCCGCGAGAATCAAAAATTATCCGCAAATCGAATAATCTTCATGCAAACGGCAACACTGCCGCGAATGTCTAAATACTCGCGACTTGTCATCGTCAACCCGTTCCGAACCTGTCGTTGACGACTGTCCACTGTCTCTCGTCCGTCTTCCGTCAAGCTGCGAGTGGAGGGGCAACCGGCGACACGTCACGACCACTTATATACCGACTTTTCGCTGCCCTTCCGCGGGGTGGGGGCGGATCGCGCCCAAACCCAGTCGGGGGTCGGAGGAGAAGCGCGCGATGTAAACAGTTCGCGACTAGACAGCGAAGAGAGCGGAACGCGCAGCGCTCACTTGTTCTTCCGGCTTGCTGCGATTGACACGACGGTGACTGGACTGGCAGTCGGTTGTTGGATCTTGGATCGTCTCAGTGCGATGTGGTGGTTGTGACAGTTGATCTTGTTGGATTATTTATTGATGGTTGTTGGTGTTGTGACTGGGAACGAGAGAAGAGCGGTACGATGAGAAGTAAAAGTGTACCCGTGAATATTTTCATCAGGAAAATCAACACGTTTTTGGGTGAGTGGATTTGCTGACTTCGTTTTCGTTGTTGCCTTCTATTCCTTCAATTGCTACTCGTGGCATGGTCTAGAGTCTGGATTCATTTAGCGAATTAGCCAACTTATACAAGATCGTCCCAATTTGTTTTTCGTTCATCTGGAATTTACTTCTGATGGAACTGCATACTTGCCTAACTCTTTCACTAGTATCACTATTCCGAGCACTTTTCCTATGTTTAAGGAACTCCTTCAACATGCCTATATTACAACAGAACTGTGAATGTGTATGTACCCACTTACTATGCATGCATGTTCAATTATTCATGCCTAGGCCCTATGCAACCAACAGATCATTCATTACCTACCTAATAAATGACCAAATATAGCTACCTAGCAAAATTCACTACAGGGGAATACAGTTTTATAGATGTTATAGGTACGCGAGCTACCTATCGAGTCTTCTGTCAAGCGCAAATTAGACAACTGAAATAATTCCTATGTTAAAAAAATTTATAGGTACGTACCTACGATGATTTTAGTTCCTTGAGTTGAATTGAAAATGTGAATTGAAATATTATTGAAATATCGAGTAACTTATTTTGATTCATCAGTGTCAGTAGTGGAATAAATTTTAATAATATTATTTAAGTACCGACCTACCTACTTACCTATGATGAATTCCTATGATACCTATCTCATACTAGGTGTATGAAATACAGTTTCTTTGAGATCTTTTCTTTCTGAATAATTATTGTGTTGTGGCGAAACTCAACCAAAGATGAGAAGTAAAAGTTTCGGCGGATATTATCAGAGCTAGATATTTTCAAAGAAAAATCAACAAATTTTTGGGTGAATGCCTTGGAAAGTGTGCATTTTGTGAATACTTTTCAACTTCGATTTCGTTTTCATTACCATGGATTTCTTCGATAAGTTCTACCATACTGAATGTCAGGGTCAAAGAGTTTAAAAACTTATATCAGAATAACTGACCTGGTAAGACGGTAAGACTCCCTGAATTGTATGTCTCTCATTTATCTGATTTATATATAGCTCCCATATAGGTAGATGCATGGTAGATGTCAACTCAGATACTTTAACGGGAAACACGATTTCCTCCAATTCCTTCTTCAAGATCCTCATCATAGGGATTGTTCCAGTTCGGCCTTTTAACTCTAGCTTCAATCCTAGACTTGATTTTAGCTCTATAATTCCATGAGTATTCCCTACTAACGAAAATCAAACAACAACCGCTACAACAACATCAACTCTAACAGACGAAGGTAAGTAGATTACTGCACTTTAGTGAGAACCAAATACCTTCAAGTATGTGACGAGCGAGGTGACGAGTTATATATGATTAAGTATCTATAAAGTGTTTTAAGTTCTTATACCAAGTCTCGTACCAAGTTGACGAAAAAAAAAACATTTTCTAAACTTTAGAACTTTTCAATTCCGACTCAGGAAAACTTTTGTTGGCATTTCTTCGCTTCGCAGTTCTGGGTGAATATAAGAGGTCCTATATATATTACGATCAAATAGTATAGTGTAGGTATTCATCAATGACAGATGCTTGCTTAATAGGTATCTAATATTCCAATGATCTCAGGGCATTATACAACTTCTCTTATTTTTCCCTCGATTTTTTCCAAAAATACTTACATGAGTCATATAAATATTCTCGTGAATATTGCTATATACAATCCGTCTGTGGGAAACTTATAACTGCAAAATATTTCTAGCCGACATTTTGCTAATCCTATTATGATTATAGTTACACATAATTTAATGAATACTCCGTGACATTTTCTATCTACAGGGTAATACAAATTTCATGACACCTACTGTATATTGTAATATGAAATCGAGTTTGAAATACGCTCGGAAATACGTATACCTATACCTCCACCTATACCCGCCCATACCTATATTATATCTAAATGAATTCATCCTATACTTCACGTAAAGAAGCTGAGAAAAGGTAATATAAAAAACTAAGCTAGATATAAAAATCACACAGAGCTGTATACTTTGACATCATTGTTGACATCAGGCATGGGGATTTTGAATTCGAAAACTATATTTATATATATATAATAGCTTTCTAGCTTGCCAGTGGGGATTGCAGCAAAGTGAAGGTGAACTCATTACAGTTTGTCCGAGCTTTCGGAAATGTATATTTCCATCTTCAGGGCTATTACAATAGATTTTTTATGTGTACAATGACATTAATATTATGAAATGTTCAAATGGTCCTTACACTATTTGAGGATGATCACTTTGATGTTGAGAGGAAATTGCGAAAGTCGGTGTAACATTTTTTTGGACAAGTGTCACGAAACATTTAAAATTCTTGTAAAAGACGAAAAAAACGGTTCTTACATAATTTTTACATTAATAAAAATTATTTCATCACAAATTGAGACATTGAAAAACTTGTCATCGTTTAACTCACGTTGGTCAATTTTTAGGTTATCTTCTTCTTCATCACTTTTGCTCAAGGAAGAATTATAGGTTGATAGTACTAGGATGTAGTTCGCGATGTACTTGAGCTTTAACAGCAAGTAGCATAACAAGTGCTGAAATGTCGACTGGACACAAGGCAATATGAAAACAATTTCTATGCGATAATCCAATCGTTGACATTGTATTTGCATTGCATTGTATTTGCATGTGTATATTGTTACTCTGTATAAAGAGGATTGATTGCAAGGGAGATTGCAAGGGAATTACAGCAGATTATGATTTCTACAAACCCAGCGCATTCACCAAAATAGTAATAATATTTCAGGATTTTAATATTGTCATATAGGGGGTAGGGTATATAACCGAATTCTGTACTTACAGAGATACGAGGGTTGCGTGATATTCTGTTATACAAACAACTATGCAACCAAATTTAAAATAATCCATTGGGATGGACATGGGTTGTTCCGATCGAGGGTTGTTGGTCAATATCTATTCATTAGCTAAATGAAATTCATTATTTAAAGGTAAACACTTGAAACGCTGTTTCCTTTTAGCCTAGCAGTTCGTTAGGTATTTTACATTTTTATATATCTGATAGATTGATTTATTTGATCTCCAGCTAACGGGAGTTGTCAGCGTCAAATACTTAGTTGTACTGATCGTTCGTCTGGTCTCAAATATCGTTTATTTCATTATTATTGTCAGAAGTCACTTGCCAGAATGTTGTTTCAGGATAACGCGAGGGATAACTTCATTTGATAGTACCATTGATCTAGTGTGTATTTAGATCTATGATAGTACCTACCTATGTGCCATTATTCAAGAGTGTATGGACATCTCGTTTTAATGCATTGGAAATACATCTGTATAAGCAAACAATGTATTGCAGATTAGAAATACTCTTTAATTGAGTAAACATTTTTCTTGAAGAATTATATATCTAATAGGTACTTGATTTTCGTTGTAATTTCTTATTTAATATTGATTTGACATTCACTTCTAGATTAAAATAGATAGCAATCTCGATAGAATGTTTTGGTGTAAACAAGAGTAAAGGACTGTGAGATTTTCAATCAGGAATGCTGTTATAGTAATAATAGTATTACACTATTTCACCATCACTAATCAACTCAGTTTCTCAAGTACTTCGACACTTGTTTAGCTAACTATTTTAGCCTCGATGTTAACATCTATACAAGAGAACATAACTAAGAACTAAATATTCTATTCTGTAATGTTGCTTATGTATACTAGGTGGTTCACTTAACCTAGATGGACACTAACTGTGCAGTCAATGTCTCTCATCACTCAACTATACAAAGGGCTATATGGAATAGGTCCTTTATTATTATGCATATTCATAACTCTATTACTTTTATTAACTATTTCCAGGTTTTCAGATGCATCTAATTCCGAGTCTAATTCTTTAACATTATCAACTTGTTTTGCCAATTTGAAGTTATTGATATGTGTGTTATGATTGTGATCAAACATATGATCAGCTACACTCGATTTACCCATATACCATATTTCAAATGTATGCGAGGTGTTCCAACTTTGATTTTTATGGGTCGCCTTGTTTGTCCTTATCGTTTGGTTTGTCTAATAAATCGAATAATTTGACCCAAACTAGTATTTGCTCCCGAATAGGGTCACTGAAAACCTTGAATAGTGTTTGGCTCGGTGTTTGGGAACAAGAAAATCTTTTGAGAACTGGCTTTCTTTCCTGGAAAATGTAAGTTTGGAATACTTGTTTGAATCAAATGAATATTCCAAATATTTTTTTGTGTACATTTGAGTTGTCCAATGATCTTGTTTTAAATAAATAGTTTTTGTAGAAGAATGCGTTTTCTTTGTACAGGGTATCCCAATTTGGGCACTTTTGCGGGGTATCTCCCTTATCAGTAAAGATAGAGCATTGCGGTTTTCGCGACAGTGTGCTACTTTTTTATGAAATTAATAATGGCTCAAGCAGAATTGTGGTAGCTCTTTCGGGTGTCTAGATACAGGGTGGAATTGAAAAATATCACCCCCCGTGCCTCAGTTATCTTTGAACTTATCGAAGAAGTTAAAACTTGTGTTTATAGAGTTTTTCTCGTAGAATCCAGTGGCGTAGTTATTTTTTTGCTAGCACCTTTTGTTTTTTAATTATGGAGGAAACATATGTTTTTTTTTAATGGAAAATAATTGTATACAATTATATATTTTTGGAAAGCCCACTTCATGCTCAATGTATATATGAAATAATATACAGGGTGTTCCATTTAAAAAAACGTATGTTTGCTCCATAACTAAAAAACAAAAGGTGCTAGCAAAAAAATAACTACGCCACTGGATTCTACGAGGAAAACTCTATAAAAACAAGTTTCAACTTCTTCGATAAGTTCAAAGATAACTGAGACACGGAGGGTGCCTGAAAAGTGATATTTTTCAATTCCACCCTGTATCTCGACAACCGGACGAGCTATCACAATTCTGCTTGCGCCATTATTAATTTCATAAAAAAGTAGCACACTGTCGCGAAAACCGCAATGCTCTATCTTTACTGATAAG